CATTGCTGGCACGATCCATTCCACCAAAGTTGACTGTAGTTCCAATCATGGATGATTGTGATAGAAAGTTCATAAAGGGCTGCTGCATGATTTCTGCGTAGCGTTGGATGCTTTGTGCGCAATCAATAATGTTTTTCAATCGAACAATCTGAATTGCAACTTCGTTGTCGATAGTAGGAGCCTGGAGCAGGTCAAAGTAAAATTGGTTGAACTCAAGCTGCAAAGAGTTTTGAATAGCAATAATGCTTCTGGAAAGTGACAGTTGTTGAAGGTGGTTTTCTTCAATGACATATGAGTGAGTCTCATTCTTTCGTTCCATTGTTTTGTTGTATTTCTTAAGAATCTTTCTTGTGCCAATTGAATTCAGACATATGAATCTGAGCAAATGCAGGAACTCCGTGCCGACGGCAAGATGCCGATACAATTTGTGGTTCTTTATCGCTGCATTTCTCAACAAGGCCGAGTTGCTATTTTGAAATAAGTGTGTAGATTCGAATCTTATTGCGCCAACTTCATCAGCGAGTTTTCCTTGTTGTTGCAAGGTGAATAAGGAGATCTTTTCCACCTCAAGAGTGAGCTCTCGGAAAAATGATCCCTTTAGCCACTTCAAGCGGTCAGATTTCGATAAGTTCTGATAAGTTGTTGGTGTAGAGGTCAGAGGTGCGTCTTCTGCTTCTAAGAGCTGCTCATTCTCATCCATGAGAAGCGTATTCTCCGCATCTTTTATGATAGCCTTCAATCGATCGTAATCGAGATATGCTGCATCCCACGAATCTCGTTTCGCTCGACGAATCTGCTTCCCAAAACCCACCATATTACGTAGGAACTATACCTCAACGCAAATTCACAAGAGATCCGATTGCCAACTGGTGCTTTTCCGTTCGAGTACTTCTGCTTGACGTTTCTTGGAGTGACTCAGGTGGGTTGTGGTGTGAAGCTGGTCTTTTGAGTTGCGCGCTCCATTATGGTTCGACCTCTCTCTTGAATGAATCATTTGGCGTTGGAGAATCTTTTTCACATGAAGTATTCGAATGAATCAATCATGAACATTACACGAAAATCAATCGTCTATAGTTCGTCCGTAACGTCTGTCAATTGCACCAAGAGGAAGGCTGAACTCGAAACACGAGAAACTACGAACTGTCAAATGCAGAGGTTCAGCAAATAAAAGATTATATCCAGATGGAGTTGTGATTGCGTAGTGGGATTATTAGATAATGACGGAAGAGCTGGATGCACAGCTCCTACTAGAAGAATATTTATCCAGCACATTGCCTAGAGAATGGCCGAGAGTAGAATGTTGTGGATCTTCTAGGAGCTTGTATTGTCCAGAGTGCTACAGAATTTTGATTCCTCAAGAAAGTTGGCCATGTGACATAAGGGAAATGAAGTTTCCATTCCACATCGATATTGTTCTTGGCAAGAAGGAAAGGAAAACATGTGCCACGGGTGTGCAGGTTGCAGCTATAGCAGGTGCTTTGGAATCAGTGCCGTCTCTGACTGGTGCCAATCGTTTGGAATCAAACTCAGTGGAGACAGTGAAGCTGTTCAGCTTTGAAGACAACAATATTCCAACGTACGACCCCGAAATTTTCTCGAATACGTATGTGCTCTTTCCAGAAGAAGGATCTGTTTCGATCACTAGTGTTGGACAAATTGATCGTTTGATTGTTTTGGACATAAAGTGGTCGAAGCAGAGTGGAAGTACTGATTCGAGGTTTCGCTCCTTCCCTCGCGTGCATCTAGATTCGCCGCCGGAT